GAAGCAGAGACAAAGACAGCGGGTGAGACCGAGAAAAAAAAAAGAAAAAAAAGGAGACAAAAAAGTGGTAGAGACGGAGACAAGGAGACAGTCAAGGAGACAAAAAAAAGAGACAAAGACAGAAGAGAGACAAACACAGAAAGACAAAGAAAAATATAAAACGATAAATACAAACAAATAAATAACAAATAATATATAGAGACAAAGACAAAGACAAAGACAAAGAAAAAAAGAAAAAGAAAAATAGATAGAGAACAAATCGTATATAAAAACAACGACAAAGTGAATACATAACAAACCCCACAAAAAGCCAAAGACAAAGACAAAGACAAAGAGAAAGACAAGACAACAAAAAGACAAAATAAATAAACAAATAAACAAATAAACTATAAACCTAACCTCAACAGAGATAGAACCTTAAAAAATAAATGAAAAAAACAAACGCCAGGGTGAGCAGAGCCAGGGAACAGTTCCCTTATAGGCGTCAGCAGTACCCCCCCTGTATCAGGGGCCCCCCCTTGGGGGCCCCCCTGGGGGCCCCCCAGGGGGCCCCCCATGGGGCCCCCCATGGGGCCCCCCAGGGGGCCCCCCAGGGGGCCCCCAACGCCAGAGGCACTCAGCTGCCCAGAGACAGCCGACTCCGTCTCTCCCTTTAAAGATAAAGGGGGCCCGTACCCTGTCTCCAGGTTTATCATGCTGCTGCTGCTGCTGCTGCTGCTGCTGCTGCTGCTGGTGTTTTTGTTGTTGCTGCTGTGGCTACTTCTGCCGCTGCTCTTCCTGCTGCTGTTTCTCCTGCTGCTGCTCCTGCTCTTGTTGCTGCTGCTGCTGCTGATGGCCTTTCTGTTTGTTGCTGCTGCAGATGTAATTCGTGATGCTGCTGCTGCTGGACACCGAGTAGATAACAACTGGAGTTTCTGCTGTTGCTGCAGCAGCAGTTGCTGCTGCTGCTCTTGCTGCTGCTGCTGCCGCTGCTGTTGCTGCTGCCGTCGCCGTAGCTGCTCCTACTGCTGCTGCTGCAGGTGTGGCTGAGTATGCTTTCTTATGAGCAGGCCTAGCAGCAGCTGCAGCAGCAACTTCAGCGTCCTTACCGTCTGCTCGCTGCTGTCTGCTGCTGCTGCTGCTGCTGCTGCTGCTGCTCTTGCTGCTGCTGCTGCTGCTGCTGCTGCTGATGCGGGTCCTAAATTGAGTTTCTTTACAAACTAAATGTACACAGAAAACGAACAGATGAGGGTTCCGTCTCTGCTGCCTCCTCTAAACCCAGGGGCCCCCATCAGCCTGAGAGGGGGCCCCCCATGAGGGGGCCCCCTGGGGGCCCCCCCTGAGCATACACCGCAGAGTTCTTTGTGTCTAGCCGCATGCATTCTCTTCTCAGTAATTTTGCTTCACTAATATTTAAATTTATTTTATATTAAAAAATAAACAACACAAATACCCATCGGCCTCTCAGTACCCCTGGGGGCCCCCCAGCCCGAGGCAGCAAACTTACGTTGGCTTGGGGGCCCCTGCAGGGGCCCCCCAAGAACTAAGCAGCAGCAGCAACTGCTGCTGCTGCTGCTGCTGCTGCAACTGCAGCGACGGCAGCTGCAGCTGTAGCGGCAGCAACTGCTGTAGGAGCAGCAGCACCTACAGCAGCAGCAGCAGCAGCTGCTGCTGCTGCTGCTGCAGCAGAAGGCTTTGTTGGTATTTGCCCCAGCAGCGATGTCTATGCATGCGTCATGAGGCCCGTAGCGGGAAGGCTGCAGCAGCAGCAGCTGCACCTGCTGCTCGTGCTGCTGCTGCTGCTGCTGCTGCTGGCTTCTGACTGCAGCACAGCATATCTCCTAGGGGGGGGCCCCCATACTTTCCCTCTAGCTGGGGGCCCCCTGGCTGGGGGCCCCCTGGCTGGGGGCCCCCTGCCTCGCAGCTTTGCAGCCGTAAAGGGGGGCCCCTCAGGGGCCCCGTGCTGCATTGGCTGGTTCGCTAGATACTGCCGCCCAGCAGCAGCAGCAGCAACAGCAGCAGCAGCAGCAGCAGCTGCTGCTGCTGCTGCTGATGGCTCTGCTGCTGCAGCAACAGAAGGTGAGGGTGTCTGGTGGAATATGGAGGAGGACGATGAGGGTGTCAGTGATGCAGCAGCAGCAGCAGCAGCAGCTGCTGCTGCTGATGCTGTTGCTGCTGCCCCTGCAGCAGCGCCAGCAAAACCTTCATCAGCAGCAATGGCCGAGGCAGCAGCAGCAGCAGCAGCAGCAGCAGCAGCAGCAGCAGCAGAACGCCCCCGCATGCGGCTGACAGTGACGCTCAGCAACAACCACATATACAGCTGCATCACCGACCCCACAAGACAGCATACATTTGCTTTTGCCTGCTCCCAAGACAAGCAGCTCAAAGACAAGCTCAGATCTATACATAGAAAAAGAGGTAAACTCTGCTGCTGCTGCTGCTGCTGCTGCTGCTGCTGCTGCTGCTGCTGCTGCTGCAGGTGCTGCTGATGATGATGATGATGATGATGATGATTGGGGGGGGTGGTGATGGTGCTGCTGCTGCTGATAGTGCTGCTCTGCTGCTGCGGCTCGTGCTGCAGTGTTAACGCTGCTGCTGCTGCTGCTGTTGCTGCTGCATTCGGGGCTGCAGTCGCTGAGCAAGGTCATCCTGCTGTTGCTGCTGCTGCTGCTGTTGCTGCTGCTGCTGCTGCTGCTGCTGCAGGACTGGTGGCGAGGCAGCATGGGGGGACGTTGCATGCAGCTGCAGCAGTTGGGGCTTTGGTGGCGGAGCGGGGCCTCCGAGCGGGTATAAAGAAAGTATACTTCGATAGAAAAAAATATAGGTACAATATGCTGCTGCTGCTGCTGCTGCTGCTGCTGCCGCATGCATGCATGTGTCTTTGTTAATCAACTGTCTCCTTTCTCTGCTGCAGATATGCAGGCAGAGTTGCAGCTCTCGCGGACGGAGCGAGGAAGGCAGGACTGGACTTCTAGCTGCTGCTGCTGCTGCTGCTGCTGCTGCTACTGCTGCTGCTACTGCAGCAGCAGCTGCTGTTGTGACTACTGATACTGCAGCAGCAGCTGCTGCTGTTGCAGCTACTGCTACTGCAGCAGCTGCTGCAGCTGCTGCTCCTGCTAATGCAGCTGCTGCTCCTGCAGCTGCTGCTTCTGTAGCAGCAGCTGCTGCAGCAGCTGCTGCAGCAGATGCTGCAGTTTATGTTGTTGCTGTTGCTGCTGGTGTATACAGCAGCAGCAGCAGCAGCAAGCTGCAGCAGCAGCAATATTTTGAGCCCATGAGGCTGTTGGGTGTCTCTTCGTTACTCTGTCTCCGCAGCAACTCAGAGAGATTGCGTAAAGTGTCTCTAAACAGCAGCAGCAGCAGAAACAGCAGTAGCAGCAGCAGCAGAAACAGCAGCAGCAGCAGCAGCAGAAACAGCAGCAGCAGCAGGACGTTGCTGCTGTTGCGGGAGGAGGAGCAGCAACTGCTGCTGCTCGTGTTGCAGCAGCAGCAGTTCATTGTTGCTGCTGTTAATTCAGGTGTACATACACCTGACTGCAGCAAAAGGGGAAGGGGCAGCTGCAGCAGCTGCTGCAGCAGCAGCTGCAGTAGCTGCTGCAGCAGCAGCTGCAGCAGCTGCTGTTTTGTGTTTCTTTATCCCGTCGTCTACACAAATGTTTTTAGGGTTTTGCCTCTAAACCCTAGTTTAGGGTTTAGGAGATGAGGGTTTAGGGTTTAGGGTTCAGGGTTTAGAAGCTGCTTAATGCTCAGAATATAGATGGCGGTGTTTTAGGGTTTAGGGTTTAGGAGTTGTTCTAGGGTTTAGGGTTTAATAGCTATTCTAGGGTTTAGGGTTTAGGAGTTGTTCTAGGGTTTAGAGTTTAGGGTTCAGGAGCATTCCTAGGGTCTAGGGTTTAGGGGCCGTTCTAGGGTTTAGGGTTTAGGAGTTGTTCTAGGGTTTAGGGTTTAGGGTTTAGGAGTTGCTCTAGGGTTTAGGGTTTAGGAGTTGCTCTAGGGTTTAGGGTTTAGGGTTTAGGGTTTAGACCGCACTAAAGAGGGTTAAGGAGGGGCAACAGAGAGACAGAAGGAGACAAAAGGAGACAAAAAGAGACAGAAACAGACAAGAGGAGACAAAAGGAGACAAAGAAGAAGACAGAAAGAGACACAAAAACAGACAAAAGGAGACAAAAGGAGACAGAAGGAGACAGTGGTTGCCTCTATAAGCAGGCGGGCTAACCACCCGCCGGGGGCCCCCGGGGTACCTGGGGCCCCTTCTGTCTCTGTGTGTTTCTCTATCACTTTTTTTATTTATTTTATGCTATATAAACGAAACAATAAGTGATTGCGGGCAGCAGCAGCAGCAGCGACAGCAGCAACTGCAGCAGCAGCAGCAGCAGCAGCAGCAGCAGCAGCAGCAGCGGCGGCGGCCGACGCGGTGTTTTGTTGAGGTCCCGGCTTGGGGTCTGTGTGCTTCTTCTGTGTGTTGTGTTTACTTTCTGTTTGTTTTATATTCTTTTATTTATAATATTTACTATTAATATTATATTTATTATTTTATTATATACGCCTATTGGTGCTACTAGCTGTCTCCTTTCTCTGTCTCCTGTCTCCTTCTCTGTCGCTGCCTCGGGCTCGCTTGCTGCTGCGTTTTGTTGTTTTTGTTTGTCTCCTCTCAAGCCCTTTATAGCCCCTACAAACTAAAAAGAAAACGTTTTTGCTGCAGCAGCAGCAGCTACTGCAGCAGCAACAGCAGCTACTGCAGCAGCAACAGCAGCAGCAACAGCAGCAACGGCAGCAGCTGGACCACCGGCCGCAGCAGCAACAGACCACTGGGCCTTGTTGCTGTTCTGTGTATATTCGTGTTATTTTTTGTTTTTTATTTGTATATATTTATTGTATTCTCTATAAAACACATAAATTTATTTGTTTTTTTCTTTTCTCTCTCTATGCACCAGACACACCAACAGGGGCCCCCAGCCAGCTGGGGCCCCCTGGGCTTAAAGGGGTACGAAGCTCACAGCAGGCAGAGCTCGGGGGCCTCAGACGCAGCAACAGCAGCAACTGCAGCAACAAGAGCAGCAGCAGCACCCTCAGCAGCAGCAGCAGCAGCAGCAGCAGCAGGGGCCTCCTGGCTGCAGAGATGCCCCGTATGCGGCTGCAGCATAGGGGCCTGCAGCTGCGATGCAGCAGCAATAGCAGCACATCGTCAGCAGCAGCAGCAGCAGCAGCAGCTCGTACATAAGAAAAGGCAGCAGCTGCAGCAGCAGCACGAACAGCTGGAGCGGATGAAATCCTTACAGCAGCAGCAAAAGGCTTTGCTGCAGCAGCAGCTGCTGCAACAGCAGCTGCTGCAGCAGCAACTCAACAGCAATGAAGGCCCCAAGGGGGGCCCCCCTGTCCCTAGCAGCCTTCAGATGCTGCGGGCCAGCTCGCTGCCTCCGGGCCCCACCAGGGGCTCAGGTGTCTCTTCATGGCAGCAGCAGCAGCAGCAGCAGCAGCAACTGCAGCAGCAGCAACTGCAGCAGCAGCATGGTAGAGGTATCCCTGCAGCAGCAGCAGACAGCAGCAGCAGCAGCAGCAGCAGCAGCAACGAACTACAGAATTTCTTGGGCCCCCGTCTGCTCGCTGCCTTCAAACGGCTGCAGCAGCACGGGGCCCCCGAGGGCCTCTTGCCGCCTCAACTGTCTCCTTTTGGGGGCCCCCCTGCTGCTGCTGTCCCTGCTGCCCGTATAGGAGCAGCAGCAGCGCCAGGAATAGCTGCTGATGCTGCCGCTGCTGCTGCTGCTGGTGTGTCTCCTCTCTGGAGCCTGCAGGGGCGAGAAGAAGCCCCTTTCAGCAGCAACAGCAACGGCAACAGCAGCAGCAGCAGCAGCAGCAGGCAGCATCTGTCTGGATCAGAAGTTGCTTTGAGATATTTTGGTGCTGCAGAAAGGAGACAAGGAGACAGCAGACAGCAGCAGCCCCTTCCGTCCCCCCTAGAGGTCCCCAGCAGCAACTGGCAGCAACCAGGGCCTCAGCATGCGCTTGCTGCTGCCAATCCAAACCCAGCAGCAGCAGCAGCAGCAGCAGCAGCAGCAGGAGCAGCAGGAGCAGCAGCTGCTGTGGAAATACAGTCAGGGTGTGTGCCCCACGAGAGACAGTCTGCTGCAGCAGCTACTGAGAGTCTGTGTGTGCTGTCTCCTACAAAGGAGACAGAAGGAGACAGAGACGAAGATATCTGGCAGGAGACACCTGAGGGCCGCAGGGCCCTCCGCGCTTACCTGGTTGAGCTGCAGACAAGGCTTGCTGCAGCAGAGCAGCAGGTGCGTTTGCTGCTGCTGCTGCTCTTGTTGCTGCTGTTGTTGCTGCTGCTGTTGTTGTTGCTGTTGCTGCTGTTGTTGTTGCTGCTGTTGTTGTTGTTGTTTTTGTTGTTGCTGCTGCTGTTGTTGTTGCTGTTGCTGCTGCTGTTGTTGTTTTTGTTGTTGTTGCTGCTGTTGTTGTTGTTGTTGCTGTTGTTTTTGCTGCTGCTACCGTTGTTGTTGTTGCTGTTGCTGCTGCTGCTTGTGTCCCTGCTGCTGCTGCTGCTGCAGCTGTCTCTAGTCTGCTATTTCTATTCTCTTTTTGTAGTGAAGGAGACAGTTGCTGCTGCTGTCTCTTCTTTGTCTCTGCTGCAGGCGACACATAACTTTGTTGGCTGTCTATACAGAGACATTCATCTGCAGCAGCTCAGCCAGCAGCTGCCCCCGCACCCCAGTACCCAGGGGCCCCCCGCTGATGGGGGCCCCCCATCAGGTCCCTCCCCAGGAGCAGAGGGTGAGGAGACAGAGGAGACAGCAGCAGAAGAGAGTGGCACGCTGCAGCAGCAGCAACAGCAGCAGCAACAGCAGCATCAGGAGCTGCAGCAGCAGCTGCAGCTGCTTGGCGGCGAGAGAGAGGTAAGCCATGCGTGCTGAGGGGGCCGATGAGAAAGGGTGGGGTTGTTGTTATTGCTTCCTGCTGTCTCCTGCTGTCTCCTGCTGTCTCCTGCTGTCTCCGAATGTGTCTCCTTTTGTGTGGGGTTTTCTATGCAGCACCTGAAGGAGGCCCTCAAGCGCAAACACGTCGCAGAGATGAAACTCAGGGCCCACGTAGCTTCTCTCTCAGCTGTCAATGAGCAGCTGCAGGCAGAGGTGAGCAGCAGCAGCAGCAACAGCAGCAGCAGCAACAGCAGCAGCAGCAACAGCAGCAGCAGCAAGAATACTGTCTCCTTACTGCAGCAGAGCAGATGCTGCAAATAGGAGACATCTCCAGCACACAAAAAACCGCACCCTCCAACTATATTGTAGATAAGTGTTTTTGTTGCTGCTGCTGTTGCTGCTGCTGCTGTTGCTGCTGCTGCTGCTGTTGCTGCTGCTGCTGCTGTTGCTGCTGCTGCTGCTGTTGCTGCTGCTGCTGCGTTACAGGCCTCTACGCTGATGAACTTTCACAGACTGGCCGAGGCGCACGGACCCGAAGCAGCAGAGAAGCTGCTTCTGCAGCAAGTGAGTCTGCTGCAGCTTCTGCTGCTACTGCTTCAGCTGCTGCTGCTGCTGCTGCTGCTGCTGCTGCTGCTGCATTTGTTCTAGGAGACAGTGCGGGGACAGTAGTGTTTTGTTTGTTTGTTTTTTTTTTGTGTGTGCAGCTGCGGTCTCAAGCAGAAGGCCAAAATACCCAAATCAAAGACCTGCAGCGAATGCTCGCCAACAGAGAAGCTCAGGTGTCTGCGCTGGAGGTAATTGCTGCTCTTGCTGCTGCTGCTGCTGCTGCTGCTGCTGCTGCTGCTGCTGTTGCTGTTGCTGCTGCTGCAGAGTGCAGCCCATCTCCTCCACACATATCCTCAGAGTCTCTTTTTCCCTTTCTCAGAACTCCTGCAGGAGGCACCTAAGTTAAATACACCCCAAATTCATGCGTCTTTGCTGTTGCTGCTACTGCTGCTGCTGTTGCTGCTGCTGCTGTTGCTGCTGCTGCTGCTGCTACTGCTGCTGCTGTGTTGTTGCAGTGCGAGGTGGCGCTGTGCCGGAAGGCCCTGGGGGCCTTTAAGACCCTTCTGCAGACTCAGGGGGGCCCTCAACATCTGAGCCTTCAGAATGGGGCCCCCCAAGAGGGGGCCCCCAAAGAGGGGGCCCCCCAAGAGGGGGCCCCCCAGGAGGGGGCCCCTCAGCAGGGGGCCGCTCAGCAGGGGGCCGCTCAGCATGAGCCTCCTCAGCAGGGGGCCCCCCAGCAGGGGCCCCCTCAGCAGGGGCCCCCTCAGCAGGGGCCCCCTCAGCAGGAGACACCTCAGCAGGGGGCCCCTAGGCAGGAGGGGGCCCCTGAGGCCCAGTGTCTCCTCCCCCCGAAGGAAGACAGATCGACGCAGACGGAGGCTTCGCAGAGTCCCCCCAGGCCGCAGGAGACAGCAGAGCTGCGGTGCGTTTGTCTCTTTACTACTGCGGAGACAGGAGGAGACTGTCTCCTCAGGGGCTGTGTGTGGGGTTTTGTATGTTTATGCGTTCGCTGTTGAGGGTTTAGGGTTTAGGCCTTAGAGTTAAACGCTGGGCTGAAGGTTTTCTCTCCAGGGTTTAGGGTTTAGGGTTTAGGGTTTAGCGGTGGTTTATTGTTGTTCTCTCTAGGATTTAGTATCTAGGGTTTAGGGTTTAGCGTTTAGTTTAAAGTTGTTATCCTTAGGGTTTAGGGTTTACAGTGAGCTGCTCCTCCTCCACACCTCCGATAAGCCTTGAGGGTTTAGGGTTTAGGGTTTAGGGTTTAGGGTTTAGGGGTTTTACCCCCAGGCCGTTGAGATATTCTTATAACATTTGGGGCTTTGTCTTGCATGCGTTTGTGTCTTTGCTGCAGCTCCTGCAACTCCAGCCACGAGGTAACTACAAATAGACTGAAGGGGGCCCCCAGGCGTTTTGTTTCGTGGGGGCCCCTTCCTTACAGGGGGCCCACCGCCCCCCCCCCCACCTTCGGGGGGCCCCCCTGTCTTAAGGGGGGCCCCCTCAATCCCCTTTTGTACCCTCTCAGCAAGCAGCCATATGAGCCGATGCACTGCACTGGCTGCAGCGGCGGAGACAGCAGAAAGAAAAGAGTTGTACTGTGTGGTGTGTGTCTCCTTTTTTCTGTCTCCTGTCTCCTTTAACAGACTCAACACAACACAGAGGGGCCCCAGCCTGCTGAGGAGGAGAGAGAAGTGTCTCTTGGAGACAGTCTCCAGTGGGTCTTGTGTTGCAGTGTCTCCTTGTCTCCTTTTTGTATGAGCTGCAGCTGCAGTGTCTGTCTCCTTTCTGTGTTACCCCTAAAAAACTACAGCTGCTGCCTGGTGTGTCTCTGCAGGCCCTCTACGCTGTCTCCATTGGAGACAGAGGAGACTCTTGAGGAGAGAAAGGAGACAGCAGCTGCTGTTGCTGCAGCCTCAGCACCAGCAGAGAGAAAGGAGACAGCAGCGGCTGTTGCTGCAGCCTCAGCACCAGCAGCAAGAGACACCGAGGAGACACCACAGCAGCTTATTACAACGGAGACAGCAGCAGGAGACACTTGTGCTGCAGCTAACAAACACAGACACACACACACGATCCCCAGGGGGATCGGCCCCGTCATGCGGTATACTGTGGGGCCAGCGACGGGATACGAACACAGAAGAGACGATGCAGTCGACAGCGCCGTGGCTGCTCTGAGCAGTGCTAGGTGAGGAGACACCCCACACCGCTCTGTCTTTGTCTTTGTCTTTGTCTCTGTCTCTGTCTCTGTCTTTGTCTTTGTCTTTGTCTCTGTCTCTGTCTCTGTCTCTCCTTCTCTGTCTCTGTTCCAAAACAACTGTCTCCTTCTCTGTCTCTTTCTGTCTCTCTCTCTTTCTCTGTTTCATAACAACTGTCTCCTTCTCTGTCTCTGTTTCACTGCCGCTATATCTGTCTCTGTCTCTGTCTCATAACAACTGTCTCCTTCTCTGTCTCAGTTATATAATAACTGTCTCTGTCTCTGCATCTGTCTCTGTCTCTGTCTCTGTTTCATATCCCCTATCTCTGTCTCTGTCTCTGTTTTATAACATCTGTCTCTATCTCTGTCCCTGTCTCTGTCTCTCTGTCTCTGTTGCATAACCACTGTCTCCGCCTCTATATAAATTTCACAGCAACTGTCTCTTTCTCTGTCTCTCTGTCTCTGTTTCATAACAACTATCTCTGTCTCTGTCTCTGTCTCTCTTTCATAACAACTATCCCCGTCTCTGTCTCTGTCTCTGTCTCTCTGTCTCCGCTTCATAACAACTATCTCTGTCTCTGTCTCTGTCTCTCTGTCTCTGTTTCATAACAACTATCTCTGTCTCTGTCTCTCTCTCTGTCTCTCTGTCTCTGTTTCATAACAACTATCTCTGTATCTGTCTCTGTGTCTCTCTTTCATAATAACTATGTCTCTGTCTCCGTGTCTCTGTCTCTGTTTCATAACAACTATCTCTGTCTCCGTCTCTCTGTCTCTGTTTCACAACAACTATCTCTGTCTCTGTCTCTCTGTCTCTGTTTCATAACAAGTATCTGTCTCCGTGTCTCTGTCTCTCTCTGTCTCTGCCTCAGAGACAGTTGTTATATCTCTGTCTCTCTATCTCAGTTTCATAACAACAATATCTGTCTCCTTTTCATAACAACTATCTCTATCTCTGTCTCTGTGTCTCTGTCTCTGTCTCTGTCTCTCTCTCAGAATAAATAAAGTGTTATTCACCCGCGTCTGCAGCGGCATATATCTCTACGGCCACCTCGCCGTGGCTATGCGTCTCAGCCCCACAGGAGAGCTGCGAGTCTCCTTTGAGGGTAGAGACTATACAGCCAAGGATTTTATACATTGCTTTGAAGTAAGCAGCAGCAGCAGCAGCAGCAGCAGCAGCAGCAGCAGCAGCAGCAGCAGCAGCAGCAGCAGCAGCAGCAGCAGTATCAGCAGGGGGTGTGTTGGTAGTTGTATCTTTGTGTTTTGTATTTTGTTTTTTGTCTGTCTGTTTGTGTCTCCTTTTGTCTCTCAGGATGCAGAGTTTAAATATCTGAAGAGGAGACAGAAGGAGTCGGGGCGCGCGGTGTCTCTTGAGGTGTGTCCCCACAGTAGCCCTCGCCAGCAGCAGCAGCAGCAGCAGCAGCAGCAGCAGCAGCAGCAGCAGCAGCAGCGGAGACAATCAAAGCAGCAGAACTGTCCCCTCTCTGCAAGGGCCAGAGGCACCTCTGTCTCCTTTGAAGGGAGAAAGGGACACCACGCCAAACGCCGCACCACCATAGCAGCGCTACCAATGAGCCCCACGAAAGACTCCACCCCCCGCTGCAGCAGCAGCAGCAGCAGCAGCAGCAGCAGCAGCAGCGGTCGTCGTCTTGTCTCCAGGGTTCCTTCATGCCGTCTCCTCCCCTGCAATATCAGCCCAAGCCAGAACACAGGGGCTGGGGGGCCCCCCAGGGGCCCCACTCAACTGGTTGCTGTGTACAGCTCAAAGAGGGCCCCCATCGCCCAGCAGTGCAGCAGCAGCAAGACCTCATCCAAGGCAGCTGCAGCAGCAACAGCGAAATCAGCTGCAGTAATGACAACAAGAATGCATGCAACAGCAGTCTGGCCTTTATCTGCTGCTGCTGCTGCAGCTGCTGCTGCTGCTGCTGCTGCTAGCTCTGGAGGGCTTCGGAGCGCGAGGCAAAGACAGCGGATGCGGGCCGCCAGCGCAGCTCCCCCCCAGCAAGCGAGCAGCAAGAGGGCCCCCCACAGTAGAAGTGGGGGCCCCGGGGCCCCCGGGGCCCCCGGGGGCCCCGGGGGCCCTGGGGGCCCCGACAAACCCCCAGCTGCTCGCGCTAAGGTGAGGCCCGCTCTCCACCTCAGCTCTCGACTGTACAGCCCCATTTAGCCGTGAGGGGACATGAGAGTGCATGCATCAGCTAGCTGTTCTGCTGCTGCTGCTGCTGCTGCTGTGAAGCAATTAGGACTTGCGGGCCCCACAAACCGCAGCAGCAACAGGAGCAGCAGAAACAGCAGCAACAGCAACCGCAGCAGCACCGACGCTAACAGCAGCAGCAGCAGCAGCAGCAGAGCCTGTACTTCGCTCCGCTCAGAGATGCTACGGGGCCTTGTAGGCCTCACTAGCAGGGGAGACAGAAAGGAGACAGAAAGGAGACAGTTGTATCGCCGATGGTAGCCAGTCCCCTTGAGGCCCTGCTCGAGGGGTAGGGCCCCACAGGCAGCTACCGATGGGGCTGGCTGCATGCAGCAACAAACAGCTGACTGTTGTTTTGGTGTTTGTTATGTTAAGAGAAGGAGACAAG